TATATATATATATATATATATATATTTATAAATTATATGTGACTTACGCTCATAAGTCTTGACGCTGGTTCATGGCGCAAGATAATGTCTAAAATTTGTGTAGCGGTTTGATTCATCCGTGATTCATTAAAACGCGGCGTTAAATCTCTTAACCACGTAAGGTCAACCGGAGTCTTTCTGGTAAAATTAATCTTGAACTCTTGATCTCCCCAAAACGGATGATTGATTACAACAGTATCGGAATGCTGCATGGGGTAATAAAAAAAAAATCATGAATTATTAAAGGGGGAAAATTTTGGAAAAATCGACCTTCAGCTTTTCACACTTCTGAATAGAAAGTGAATCTTTAGAAATATTTCGTCAAATTTGAAAATTCTGTAAAAATTGAGTTCGGGAGAGCGAAAAATGTGAACCGATGCGCGAACAATCTGAAGGCCGGCGGCACAGAATTGAAGCATAGAATTGATAGGAAATGAAGCAAAGAAGAATCATATTAAAAGAATGATAATATATATAACATATATAATTGATATATAACAAGCATATATAAAATGTCCCGGGAAAACAGAGCGAGTCAATGTGCAAATGATTAATTTATTACGTATTACTTATTACTCACCGATTCTTCTTTAAAGATATCGCTCGATGCGTACACCAACTCCTTTCCGTCGTACGCCGGATATCTCGTCGGAAAATTTTGCTTTCTATAATTTTCGAAAATCTCCCTCCGTAAAGCTTTCGATTTAATTTCACGCTTCTCTTTCGACTTATCTGGCGAGGACGCCACAGCCTCAAGTTTCACCTCATATTGAGTAGCTGTGGTCTTAAAATTCTTATTAAATATAATATCAAAGATATTTGTAACAACTCGGATTTCGTACCCTTTAGTTCCACTTTGCTTTCGCCATGGTATTGCAAGCTTTTTCTCCGTCATATTTTGAGTTTCGGACGGACCAGGTTGTGACTGGTCTTCAGATAATGCAGTCATTGAAGACGATGTTAATAAGGACGTTTCTTGTTGTGCGTCATCTGTCTCAGCCGCCGCACCAATACTATCATCTTGCTGGCTTCCTTCGACCTGCATTTTCTGGTCATTACTACTACCTAGAAAAATATGAAAGTACAATCAATTATTCACACGTGCAACACTCAAAGATGCGTCTAATAATAGGGACACAGGGATCATATTACATAATAATTTTGGGACAACCTACATGCGTAAGAATAACTCCGAATTGCGAATCAACATTAAAAGGACAATTTACCTGGAGCTCCCTGCTGTTGAGAGGAAGCACTTTCACCAAATGTATAACGTGATGAATGTTGTTCTGGGTCCGTGGAACTTTGCACTTGTTGATGCTGTTGCGTCACAGCTAGATGTTGCTGTGGACTTTGAGGATTTTCTAATTGCTCGCAGGATTCCAATCGTGGTTGACTCTCTTGAGGACTGAAGCGTATCTGATGTGTCTGTTGCTGTTGTTGAATTGTCGAATTTCAAGTATTCCATGATTATTGCTGAAATGCAGCCTGCGATATAAACAGGCGGTAAGCGTGAGAGAACTACGTACTTCTTGATACGACTGATGTTGCGTTTCAACTTGATATCCTTGCGTACTTGGAGTGCACGTTAATTGGGATTCATAGGACCCCGATTGTTGTTGAGTAGCTTGAACTCTACGTAAATAACTCTGTATTCGTGGCTGAAATTCTTGTTGTGGCCGCTGCCACACATTTTGCTGCAAATTCAATATATTTCGCAAATTATTGCTGAAGCACCTGTCGTCGTTGCGATACAGATTAGCGTAGAAGTGTAGATCACATACTTGATACGTTTGATACCGCATGCCAGCTAGATATTGTTGCACAGTTTGAGGATACACTAATGGTTGGTAAAATTGTTGCTGAACTATTTGAAATCCACGTGAACGACCACGACCTCCTCGTCCTCCTCGTCCTCCTCGTCCTCCTCGTCCTCCTCGTGGCTGAAATTCCTGTTGCATATTTTGCTGCAAATTTTCAGTCTCCCATGGTTATCATTAAAATATTTATTGTTGCAATATTCAGTAAGCAAGAAATCATTGATACAACGTTATTACAATGATATCTTACATGTAACGTTTTCCAATATATAATTCTTAATGTTGTACGTAACGTGATTGTTAACAATATTCGACCCAAATATTAAAAATAATATTTATACAATATGATTTTGATATTTAAGAACATAATATAAATTTCATAAATCAAATTTCAATTATCATTGATAATAAAATTATTATTTATAATACATTATTATTGATAATAAAATTATCAATTTTAATATTTAGAAATATTTTATATTATCAAGTAACAGTTTGAGAATATTTACAAAGTATTACGTCAAGATGTTTATAAAATCAACGTAAAATCAATGTTTCGACGGATTAATTTAATGTTTTCTTGCTTACTGGGTGTAGACTGGCATAGGTAGGCGCAGAGAATCACATACTTGTTGTTGATATACCTGCTGTTGTATACCACCAGCTGGCCTTTGTTGCACATTCTGAGAATATTCTGATTGTTCAGAGGATCCCACGGTTGGCCATGGTTGACTTGTTTGAGCTGCGTATGAAGGATTCAACTCTGGTGACTGAAATGCTGGTTGCTGTAATACAACGAACTGTGAATTTAAGGAATTCTACAGTTTTTGTTGACTCAATAGTCAAAATGTTAGCGATACATCGGCGTAAATCATAATAGCGTATTCGATTAAAATGCCGTGGCAATTTTATAGCTATCTATGTCCGAATGAAGCTCACGCTCTGTCGGTGGGAACTGTTGACATAACTCCGATAGTGAACCGACATTTATATTAAATTTATATTATTTAAGTTTTATAAAAGTATAAAAATTAAATGAACTGTGCGATGATCGTAAATAAAAAAAAATATATATATGCCCGTTCAGCACGAAATATTGAAAGCGTCCTAGAAGTGCTCAGGATATCCTAAGATATTGTTCAGGATATCTTGGACACACTGAATAATTTTGGCACATCTTGTGATATTTGGATTAGCTATCTGGAGAAGATACCTGTTGCTGCATTGTTGATGGGTACGAACCATAGGTAAAATACATTGGTTCCATTGTATACGAAGGAGAATAGGGAGAATGTAATAATTGTTGATAATACGCCTGTTGCTGTTGTAATGCATCTTGCTGTGAATTATTGTCTTGTCCAATAGACTGTTGACTCGATCCCGAATGCGAAGGATTATCTAATAAAGAGTATTTAAAGTTTAAAAGGTTTTCTAGGAATTTCTCATATTACAGATAAATTATAAGTAATTTTAGGAAATCACATGAAATTGTTAAATCATAATATAATATAATAATATCTGTTCAGTGAAAAAGAAAAAAAAAATCTTAATACACAAAAGATATATATATAAATCTATTGCTTCTCAAAGCAATATCTAAAGCAAAGCATTTGTTTTTATTTCGAATCATTTCGGTTACTTAGAACAACCGATGGAAGAAAAACAAATAACGATTGCCGACCCGAAGAACCTTATAAACAGTTCCGTAACAATTGCCAATGTAAACATCAACACAAGCGTTTAAATGTTTATAACTCAGAAGACATATCATAGAAGTCATACGACGAGTGCCATATTATTATTGTTATTACTGTTGAAAGTGATACTGGATTGTAAAGAATCGAGAGTTAAATGCTAGAATGTTATGATAACAAAATTATTTATTCAAAATTCGACGTTCTAGAACAAAATTCTATCTTTACCGCTCATTATATATACAAAACAAGGATAGAATGATTCTTTGGCACTGATAGTTTGTTGCAAATATAATGTATGAGCTCTTTGCAAACGCGACCCATACATTATACTTACAACAACAATATAATGATACGACACCGTCGATGAAAGTCGGAGAATAATACTTTATTGTTATAATTTCATTAAAGTCAAGAGAAACTGGTTTAATTGTAAACTAATATAAATATAACATTTGTCTATCATGTATCGAAGTTTCTCTTCTTTTTATGGAATTTTATACTCGATGTTTATTCACAGTACGTGATATTTGATATATCTTTATCGACAATGTTTGAGGCAAAAAAAAATCCAAAAGAACGTAATTTACACATAAACGTGTTAGTATCACCATAAAGATTAATCGCTGAACATACCTTGTCTTGACATTTTTGCTTATTTCAAGTGACAATTTGCTTATTTTAATTTGTGCTTGACACTGTCCGCAAACCAAGGCAATTGAAACCTACCAACAAATAGAAGCGGTAAAGCTCCAATATAAATTCGAAGGTGTAAGCGGTAGGGGTCGTGGAAAATTCCCGTACGCATGTGTCAACTACGTCACAGTTACGTGATCAGCCTCGGCGGATTCGTGTTTTGATACATTAGGGAGAAGCCCAAAGTATGGAACTACGGATTGGGAATTGAAATTGAATTGAATTTGGCCAATCAGTGCAAAGTTAACTAAACTTAAGATTTTACTGAAATTTAGTGAACTTCGCATTGATTCGTTAATTTTCAATTCAATCTCAAATTTCAATCCGTAGTTTTAAGTTCATCAGATATTTTTATATATTGTACGAGGATGGATCAAATATAAACGAGCCTTTTTAAATTGCGCGCCCGTCGGCGGCGTGAAGGGTCTGCAACGTTTTGGACAGTGGAGGGGGGTCATGTGGAAGGCAGTAATAACGCTGGCGTGCCATGTGCTTCTTACTCTCAGCAGCAATCACGATGAGCGAGAAAGAAGTACACACTGCAGTTGCACAACGTGTTATTATTAAGTTTCTCGTCAACGAAAATGTAAATGCTGCTGAAATTCGGCGCCGTTTACTCCCACAGTTCGGGGAAAGAACCCTTTCATGGTCTCGGGTGAAGCAATGGTGCAGCAGTTCGTGTGCAATTGGTTTGATACATGTCCGCAAACTTTTCATGATACCGAGATTAAAAAATTACCAGACTGTTGGAGGAAGTGTACAGATAAGATGGGGGACTATGCAGAAAAATAAGAAAAATGTAAATTAGAATTGATTTTGAAAAATATATGGTTTTTTTTGCAAAAGGCTCGTTTATATTTGATCCAACCTTGTATATGTAAATGTTATATTATACTTGCTTTATTAGTCTTCATTCACGTAAATAAAATATATTCTTTTATGGATAATTTATTTTCACTGTCAAGTAATTTCTGTTAATTGAAACTTTCTCAATGAATGAGCTCATTAATTAGCAATTTATCAAAATAGCTTATCTAATATATATATATCTTATCATCTCACGAAAATAATTAACAGTGAAAATAAGTCATTTATAAAGGCATTTACGACAGATCGAGCGCATTTGTCAGATATTAATTAATAAAAACTAATGATCCAATGGATATTTTGCACGCAGAGATGCCCAGGAAAAACAACATCTTTTTTTCTCCAGTTATATTAAATGTTGCACAATGACATGAGAACATATTTTAATCTCGACCCACAACGTGTGCTTCTCTTTCCGATACAAAAGGTACGGCTCCCTTTTTCGAATGATAGCGCCTGTTGGCTTCCCTGAAAAAAATAAAATTTCTCTACTGAGATGCTGCTCGCGATAAAATTGTGAAATTGATAAAATTGATAAAATTATGAAAATCTTTTGTCCATAGCTGCACGTACTTGCGTTTGTTTTTCTCGCGTATTTTTCTCAGTTCAGCTTGCGCATTGTACACATGTTTCGGCACTTGTCTGTGCCGGGCGATTCGTCTGATTTGCGGGTGAGCCGCGTATTTCTCCTTCAGCGCTTCGTTATAAAACAGTGACATCTTCTGTCTGGTTTTAATCTGGCAACAACATTAAATGATCAGTATATTATTACTGCATATTGTCTTATACGCGGTTAAATATGCTTCTAAAATTGAGCTACTTATTTTAGTGTAACCCTGTATATCGCTAGCGTATACAACAGCGGTGTTCAAATGGTTATTAGTATCTTATTTCAAGTTGCGACATGTAAAATCTATACATTTCAAGACTGTGCGATTTACTTACAATGCCGAGTTTCTCCGACGCCTTGGCCTTCCACAAACGCAGGTTCATCTCGTCGCTGCCGCTGATTATGTACTTATTATCGAGCGACCATCCCACACAGGTGAGCCTCTGCATGCGCTTTGTATGATACACCTCCCGCGAGTGGCCTTTGTTGGCCTCGAAGATGCGAATCGACTTGTCGTAACTGCCCGAGACAAACTCCTTCCCGGTTGGGGAATAATCGACGTCTATCACGGCCTCCACATGGTCCATGTGCACATTGACCGGCGTCTTCCACTTTCGGATATCATAGGTGTATAAGCTGGAGAAGAAATGCATCGACCTTTTCATCGGAAACAAAAACAAGCGTCGGTTTCGTCACACCGTCACCTTACTTGTAATCCTCATTGGCACACGTGAAGGACATGGATTCCATGGGGTTCCAAGCGAGTTTGTTGCTTCGTAATTTCATCGTTATCCTCGTTAGCGGGCCTTTATCTCTGGTGTCGTACAAAATTATTCTTCGTTCATTCGTACAAGCAGCTGCAAGGAAATAGCAGTGTAATTGTGCGTACACTTTATCTATCACCTCCAATTACTTGCGAATGTGACTTAACTAAGAATTTCACTCGCAACCTTGTCAGTGTTAAGATATTTCATATATATAAAAGACTACTAATAAAAGACTAATAATAATGCAATAACATCGCATTAAAGTTAGATCTAAGATGCACATGTATGTATATATATTATACCTAAAAGATTACTCTGTACTGGATTGAATTTTATATCGTATAAACTATCCACATCCCATTCGAATGTACAAACTGGCTCGTTACGGGTTTCCTCCCAAATGTGACACTTTTCTCCGCAGGTGGCAAATATAGGCCTGTCTCGATGGTGAGTTATACCAGTAAGTACCGTCTAGAAATAAAAGAAACTTGCTCGAACATTTGTACATTTGAGAAATTTGTTTTATATGCAAATATTTTATATATATATACTTTGCTGATAATAGTATTCAAAGGTTCGTCCTCTTCCGTATCAGCACTCCATGTCTTGATAATCTTGTCATCGCCAACGGTAATAAAACGATCTCCATCCGGCACATAGGCGATACTACGAAGCACACCGTCGTGAGCCAGAAATGAACGCATGCAAGTTCCCAAGGCAAGGTTCCACATTCTAACTTCACCATCGTAAGCTCCGCTTAAAAGAACAGACAACTGGGAAGGATGTTTACATATACAGAACACAGCATCTTTGTGGCCTTCTAGACACTTAAGAAACGGCTTTGCAAATATCTTGTCTAATTTGACGGCGTTTAGCGCTCTTGTGTATTCTCTCGCAGCTTCAAACGGATGCACAGATGGATCGTAGTTTCTGGGGACTGTAACAAAGAATAAATGTTTATTCATGAACAAACCAAGCGTATTAATACCTTCTAAGCACGGGTCATACACGTGATAAATAAGTTTCAAAAATCAATTGGATAATCTTTATATTAAATATTTACAAAATGATATGAAAACGATATGAAAATTAGGAAAATTTGTTTTAGCTTAATTCGCTTATTTTTAATAACTTTCTCTAACAGAACTAGTATATGTTACACAGTAAAAAATATGTACGCTGAAAATGTATACGTATAGGTTAGCGTTGGCTTTGTAAACCATCAACTTACTTTTATGAATATCTCGTTTAGTCTCTCGTAGATATTCATCGGGATTTCTAGTTAGTATTTTAACCTTCATTTCGAAAATAAAAATTGAGCGCAGTCTATTGCAGTAAAATAAACAAAATCACAAAAAAATGCACAACAGCACCATGAAACGTTACGAGATACAACACATCTTCGTCTCCAATGCCAGTAGTTTATAAATACGACACATGAGGTCTGTTCGTTTTCGCTACACCGCTGAACTAGTGCAATAAGTTGAAGCGAGACAAGTATATGTTTTCTCACTCCAACTTATTGCACTAGTTCAGCGGTACAGCGATAACGAACAGACCTAATGTGTTTACTCAAAGAGAAGATTGGATTGAATGAAAAATTCTACAGGGCATTATTTGTGTGTGTAATGAGTATTGTTAGATGCGCTCATTGGTTGTCGCATAGAGAATTCCAGAGGTTCCTGACATTTTCTCCGGACAGACTGGAGATTCTCTATCCAACAGCCAATGAGCGCATCCGATCGACTGATGAATGCACACGAATACAATCTTCCGCTGAAAAAAATGATTTGTCGCACACCTCCTGCACTACAGGTGCAAATAGTTCAGTTAGAAGGAACAAACTTCTTGTAATGCAACTTGAAGAGGAGGACAGGTATGTTGCGCGAAGTGTATAGTTAACTTAACCTCAAAGTAATTTTTATAAAATATTACGGTAATTGTATAGAAGACCAACTTATCCGCTAATTTCGATAAAATCTTATCTATACACGCGTATTTTGGTGTTTAAGATAAGGGTATGATTTCGAAAATTGTCGACTTGTATTTCAAACAAGAATAATGATGGACTGTTCTCATCTTTGAGGTTAGCAGGTCTGTCATCTGTCGACAAATGTGATCGTATAATTATATATAATAATATAATTACATAATTGTGCGTCATTATTTACGCATAAAGCTATATTAATATATTAAAATCTACTACATATTGTGTATTTTAATAATCATGTATAGTTAAAATAAAGATTCTAATTATTATTTTTTTAGTTTAGTTAAGAAAAAGTACGTAGCAATAAACAGATTCAAATCGATCATTGTCTGTAGAATTACATAGTTTTCTATTAGTTTCTATCAATAAATCAGTCTATATCAATAAATTACAGCATATTTTACTTGATATCTCTATTTTCTTGCATTTCTCGCATTTGTGGATTTAAATACAGATAAAAGAAGAAGTTGCTTTTACACATTGTGTTTCCAGATTTTAAATATGTGCAACAGGGAATAACTCACAATAGCGATGGCTATGCGAAAGAGAAGTGGCTCTGGTGCCAAACGTCAGCACAAATGTAAATTAGTACCTATCTATGAAAGTTTCTTCAAAGGAGAAGATCTGACGCTGGCTCACCCAAATTTCTGGAACGAGCTATTCCTCATTAAACCTATGGTATGAAACTTATTACATGTAAAACACATTATATCGTCTAAATACATAAAGTATTTTTGTATTTAGTTATTTCTTTACTTTCGTGTTTTTTTTTTAATAGATGGAAGTAAATATCTAATTTTACAGGTTCCCCACATAGAAAGTGAGATTTTGCACATGACGTCGGAACAATTAAACGCCAGTAAGGAAAACTTGAATGCATTGGTGTGCCATTGCGTTGACACGTTGGTCGACGAACATCCATTCCGAATAGTATACGCGCTACAAACGTTGGCGGCGGTTATTCAGTCGATGTATAAAAAAGCCAATCAGGGAGACTACGGATTCAATCTAATAGATATCTTAGTAGGCTTTGATTCTGCGGAACAAAGGATGACGACGTTGATGCAGCACTGCAATAATTTTCTGACAGGTGACATACATGCAATTAATGGTAAAGAGCTTGAGATTATCGAGATCGAAGAAAGATCGTAAGTCGGGATCACTTCTTTTCTCTTAAACAAGAAAATATTCCATTTCTTCAGGTGAATATCCAGACAGCTTGAAAGCTTTGTGCCTGAAATTATTGTTAATAATAGTTACCGGTATGGACAATGTCAGCCAAAATACTTTACTGGAATATGTTATGCTAAACAGTGTCTTCGAGTCTCTGATTCAAGTACGTTGGATATTCTCGAGTTAAAACGCTTTCCCATATTTGTGTGTAAAGTTTTCTAAGAGCACGGCTCGTACTTGACTTCTAATAGTGACTTGTTTCGTCACATGGCACACAGTTGTTGAGAGACACGGCCGCTAGAAACCGCCACGGCCACGATGCGGTTTTGTTGCTAACGCTTCTAGTCAACTACAGGAAGTACGAAAGCGCGAATCCCTATATCGTTAAATTGTCGATCCTGGACGACGAATTGGCGCTCAACGGATATGGGCAGGCCATATCGAGCTCGTTAACGGAGTTCTGTCGACAATTCGCTCAGCAGAGGGCAGGTATTGGCAGCATTCGATAATAATTCATGTAACAGTAGGATAAATAATGCTGTCTCTTGAAAAATCTCTTGCGAACAAGTCGATCTAAAAATGACTATCTTATTCTGGTTGAATATTCCTTCGAAAAAATCTGCATAGTTTACAACACGATTTCTGTTAGGGGTGCCCATAAGTAATGTCGTTTTTTTTTCAGATCGAATAAACACTGCCACCTTATGGGCATTTTTTATTATTACATAATTCATATACTAATTAAATTTCCTGACACTTAGTGTGCTTATCGTGAAATTATGAAAGAATTAAATGTTAGATAAAATTTTGTACAAGTATGATAAAGCGACGTATGGGCACCCCCGATAGAATATTGACACGATATATATGATGTACAATGCCGATACGCACACGAGCGAATCTCAGAATGCAATAATAACGCAATATAATTTCCAGAAATACAAGCATCTTGGTTGTCCTCGCTAACTAGTATAGTCGGTAGCATGTTTGTCGGCGAGGAGGAGGCGAAAACGCAACAAGTTCGCGCGAATAACGCTTTGCTTTTAGCTCTGTACGAGGCCACACACTTGAATCGTAATTTTGTAACTACTCTGGCCTATACGCAAAGTGATACCAGCGCACCTCCGTCGCCGAACAACACTCTGGGCCCGAACGCGGTGGCTCCCGGTGCACCGCCGCCCGACGTGATGGCTCAGCCGTTCAATTTACTGGCCACCTTCCTGCAATACTGGTGAGAGGGCTGGGATCAAGTTCGTTTCGGCAAGAACACGATGTGAGATGTCACACCTCCTCTTCGCTTCGTTCCAGCTCGATAGTCATGCAGGTCATCAGAACGGAGGCCATAATGAACAATGTGAAGCTATGCTTCCTGATATTGAGCTGCATCGCGGAGGACCAATACGCGAACAGTTTGATGCACGACGCGAATCTAGCGTTCAGGGTTCAGCTGCATCGAGTGCCCATGCATCACAGAAAGTTGCAGGATAAGGCGGCACCCGCGCAGCCGCTCGCAGCGACGTTACTCGGTGCGTAAAAATCTCGCACGGCATGGGAACATACAAGTTTCCTCTTCGTGGTTTTAAGGAAGCCTTCAGTGTGCGAACACGCTTAGGCAATCTTGGTTAATCGAACGCTTCCTCTTGTGTCCTCTTCCTCTCTCGTGGAACTCACTCGGAGATTTAATTGCAGACCTGCTGGTCGAATTCGTGACGTCACACATGATGAAGAAGTTCCCGCTCGAGTTGTATCATCAGTGCATCGGCGTTCTCCAAAGGCTGCTGTGCTACCAAAAAAGGTGTCGTGTCAGGCTCGGCTATCAGTGGCGAGATCTCTGGACGGCGTTGATCAATCTTCTGAAATTCCTCACGACGCACGAGAGCCACCTCATTAAGAAAATGAATATCTTCCCCCTAGCTATTCAGGTAGCGAGGTACACTTGAAGACACTCGTCTTCGCCGATACGACAGTGTTAAAAGTTACATTCACGTTGCTCCGACAGGTGGTGAACATATTAAATTTGTTCATTACGTACGGTGATACATTCCTATCGTCGCCCAGCAGTTACGACGAATTGTTCTACGAAATTATTCGCATGAGACTTATCTTCACTAATTTGAACGCTATGGGTAAGTAGTTGATGACGAGAACCTCTGGCGTGACGAGCGAAAGCTGCGAAAGAATATGTGGCCTACAACGGACAGTAGGAGTGCGTTCGTAAGAAATAAGAATAAGAAATTGACCAATCATATTCGAATCTAGGAAGAATAATTGACTATGATTGGTTAATTTCTCACTCTTCCTTCATATAAATATACTCCTTAAAACATGGTCTACAATGGATAATAGGAGTATATTTGTAAGAAGTAAGGGTAAGAAATTAACCGATTATTCTCTTTACGCTCGAACATGATTGGTCAATTCCTTATTCTTACTTCTTGCGAACATACTCTTGCTGGCTATTGTAAGACTACACTTAATATACGAAGATCTTATAGCGATACACTACGACGAGAAGAGATCCGTTTTCCGTAATGGAAACATCCTTAGCACTCAGGTACTCGACCAGCGAATCGTACGAGCACAAGGAGCATGCGCTCAAATTAACGAATTCTCTCGTGAACGTGAGAGACATAGTAAATCACTTTCCGCCAAAGATAACAGCATGGCTGACGAAAGAAAGCCTGTCGACGCCGACGGAACAGCAAATACTGGCGATTATAATACAGAATTACGACAGTCTCACTTTAAAACTGCAGGATAATCTGGATCAGTACGAGAGATATTCGGAAAAGCCTAATCATACTGCATTTTTTGAGGAGATGGTAATTAAATAGAATCTTCCGCGCGCGCGCGCGCGTAACATATTTGTGACTTATGCATGTTAGGCTCCGATATTCATTGAGATCTCTGAAACAAACAGTGCTTTCAATGTGATTATTTTCAGGTAAGCGGAGTGGTGGTGGACACCAGAGCTTCGATAGATCTTAATACTCTAGACACGCAGAGTATACTGGAAGAGCTTTCAAACATTTCGTAACAGTACTACAATGTATCTTCGACATTGTGACTGTTGTGTTGTTCCATAATGTATCCTTTTCTCGCCTCGTAAAACGGCCAGCTTCTCATGTAAATTACTTACGAAGCGGAGACGTGTGTTATTATACGGAGTTACGATACTTTAAGGTCGCTTAATTTCCTTTGAAATTGCCTTTTGTTTCTTATGAATTGTATACAGGAATTCTGCGAAGATACCATTGAATATATCATTACATTGTAACGAGAACGCAATAAACGGATTTAATAAATTCCAGTATTCGTATCGACGATGTCATCTTGCGGCGACGAATGGAGCTGCTCTATTTTCGCGCTTCTATCGAGGTAGTGGAGTGAATCGACCGGTTATCGTAAGTGTTGTGTAAAAGTGTTCGTGAAACTAGAGACCCTAAAATCAGAATCTGCACACAAATCCGGTCCGTCATGTTTATGCTAAATCCTACGAGAGAAAATAAATGTACACCATCTCATTCTAATCTACAGTTTGCACTTTTCAGCTGCACTGCTTCACCGAAGTCATGGTATGATTTTCCTTGCACTTCAAGCTTTAAAGTGCTTCTTGAACGATCTCGATAGCATCATTATTGCGAAAGTTACAACCTGTTGAATTTCGCTTCTGTTCAGGAATAACGGGTTTACGAAATTATTAGACCCGTTACTTCTGTAATTTAGTTCCAGAGTGTCCGCTGCGAGTCGCTACTAAACGAGAAACTGAGGTCGTGATATGACTAAACGATGGAATCAGATGTACTTCCATTTCTCAAGTAGTATGACTCAAGGGCTGGTCAGGCGTACTTTCCGTCGTAATAAGACAGGCGAAATTCAACAGGCTGTAACTTTCGCAATAATGATGCTATCGAGACCGTTCAAGAAGCGCTTTAAAGCTTAAAGCGCAAGGACAATCGTACCATCGACTTGATGTTATATAAGTATTTTATTATTACGCTTTCTCTTGAGTTTCTTTGATAATTTCGCAGCAAACCAACTGTTCTTGGGATTGTTTTTGGAATTCGTCGGGTTTACGCGCATTTAACGTGCAAAAGTGCGATATAATTCATAGATATAATTCTAATATATTTCAGTCTTAATTATCTCGCATTAAAGCGTGCATAACTAATATGTTGCTCTATTATTTATCTTTATGCTCACACCTTGTATATATAATTTGACAGCTGTCAGATCACCTACTGCGCATGATCGTCAGTTCGTAGGTTCGCTTCGTCACAATTTTTGTGTGTCCGAAATACGAGGAACAAAAACTGTTGGAACCGTTCTGTGACCGAGTGCACACATCGAATCGGCCGCACTTGATTGTTTCCTTATCGGTGATAAGACATAACTGATCATTCGAAAAGGCTTACATGTCACGCGAGTACACCATTCCGGCGGAAATAACCTGCTGGCACATTCGTGGTGGCGACGACGACGACGACGGTGGTGGGTCGAAGTCCTTAGAGGGAAGCGATAACTTGCACGGTCTCGCGCTCTGATGCGTCATTAGCGACAGACGAGCGTTTGTGTGAACGAAAATTACTTCAAGGTAAGAAACAGGGCGAAATGATTGCGATTCGCATTTTGTCGACGTCGATCGAGAACAAAAATAACGAGACGCTCTTTACTACGACGCAGATGGTGCGGGAGAACGGGAAATTATGGAAGCTGACGCAACTCCGGGCGCTCATGAAGGACGTCCAGGTCGAGGGTATGAAAGAGAAAGGTATTCAGGCTTTGGTCGTCAACGGTGAAGACGCGCATCAGTCGGAATACTCGACCGAGCGTGATCAGAGGCGGCGTTTCGTCAGCGGCTTCCGCGGCTCCTACGGCACGGTGATCGTCACACCGGATGCAGCGTTGTTGTGGACGGATGGCAGATACTTCACGCAAGCCCTGTCGGAGCTGGAGCCGCCGGAGGCATGGACCCTCATGCGAGAAGGTTTGCTGGACACACCCACCACCGCCATATGGCTGACCGCGAATCTACCCCCAAAGTCTGTGGTCGGGGCAGACGCTAATTTAATCAGCTGCACCGAATGGAGCAGGTTACATGGCAGCCTGACCGCTGCCGGTCATTGCCTGGTTGCCCTGCCGGAGAACCTGGTGGACAAGGTGTGGGCCGACGATCAGCCAGCACCCACAGCCAATGCGATCTTACCCCAGGCGATCCAGTATTCGGGCGAGAAGGCCGGAGTCAAGGTGAATCTGTGCCGGGACGCCATGCTGGATAACGAAGCGTCGGTGCTCGTGATCACGGCGCTGGATGCGATCGCGTACCTGCTGAACTGGAGGGGCTCCGACATCCCGTTCAACCCCGTCTTCTTCGCGTACGTCGTTCTCAATCTGAAGGATCCCAAGTACGTGCACATCTTCATCGACCGAAGCAGGGTGTGTCAGCAGGCGTTGGAGCAACTCAGGGACGAGGGCGTCGATCCGGTGTTTCATGCGTACGAGGATATACACAGCTTCATGAAGGAGGTGGCGAGTTCGTGCACGGACGACGACAAGATCTGGATCAGCAATAATTCTAGTTACGCGCTGCACGCCGACTGCGGCGAGGTGAAGAAGCACACCGACATCACGCCGGTCAGCGTCATGAAGTCGATCAAGAATTCCGTTGAAATAGCGGGCATGAAAGCGGCGCACGTGAGAGACTCCGTCGCTCTCGTCAAGTACTTCGCCTGGCTGGAGGACAAGATCAAGAATACCGACGAGCGCGTCACGGAGATCTCGGGCGCCGCCCAACTGGAGAAGTTCCGGCAGTAAGTGAACTGATAAGGCGACCATATTGTAAAATTATTAAGCCCGTCCTAAAATACAAGAGAGAGAGAGAGAGAGATCGTTTTTTTCTTTCGCAAGGGAGCAGGATCTCTTCGTTGGATTGAGCTTCACTACGATATCGTCCGTCGGCCCACACGGAGCGATTATTCATTACTCACCCACACCGGCGACCGATGTGCCAATCACAGATAAGGAGCTCTATCTTTGTGACTCGGGCGCACAGTACAAGGACGGCACGACGGACGTAACGAGGACTTGGCATTTCGGCGAGCCTACGAGCTTCGAGCGCGAATGTTTCACCCGGGTGTTCAAGGGACAGTGCCGTCTATCGACCATGATCTTCCCCTTGAAGACGAAGGGGAATTACCTCGACACGCTGGCACGCGAGAGTCTATGGAGCGTCGGGTATGTAGAAATTGCGGATGAAATGGTATTTCGGTGCGAATTTTGCGAGAAAGGGGAAGAAGTGGCGATTTCCTTGTTAACGCTTAACGCTCGATTATTTCAAGCGACTTCGCAGTTATCGAGAACACCGAGAGGAAGAGAGATCCGACGTTCGTTCAATGCTATGTTTACACTGTTGTGTTTATAATGCCATGTTTACACTGTACTTAACTGAATTAATTGCAGTCTGAATTATCTTCACGGCACCGGCCATGGGGTGGGGTCGTATCTCAACGTCCACGAGGAGCCGATCGGTATCTCGTGGAAACCGTATCCGGACGATCCAGGTTTAGAGCCCGGAATGTTTCTGTCGAACGGTAAATTCAGATAACATAAACCGTGTAAAACGTCGCTTCTGTAAGTGAGAGGATTAAGAATATGTCATGTGTGCGTGCGTATGTGTGTCTCTCTATGTGTGTGTTTGGGGACAAATAGAGCCGGGCTATTACGAGGACGACAAGTTCGGCATTAGGCTAGAGAACATCGAGCTAGTCGTGGCTGCGAAGACGCCTTACAATTACAAAGACCGTGGTTTCCTGACCTTCGAAACCGTGACGCTTGTGCCCATTCAGACGAGTCTGCTCGACACGTCGTTGCTCACGGACGAGGAGGTATGCGCACACACTTTTTGTGCTTCCGATCGGTTGGGATATTCCGGTTGTAATGTTGCTCCACAACGTATATCTCGTATGTCTTTCAGATCGATTATTTGAATAATTATCACGCGAGATGTCTGGAGGTTCTAAGACCCTTCCTCCGAGGGATGGAAAATATTCAAGCGCTCCACTGGCTCGAGAAACAGACACTTCCTATTCCGCTAGCTATCGTAATGTAACATCAATATGTCCAATATGTTGAGACGTGTACCACATACGGTAAAATTGCATCACAACATCATGGAACGATTTAAGATCTCCAAGTTCTACTATTCCCTTTATAAAATGTATTGTTTATATATATACGAGTATTGCGTAGTGCACAACTTCGTGAAGTCCTTTGGTTAATAGAAAATTTCCGAAAAAATGTTCGAGGAATTTTTCGGAACTCCAAAAATGCTTCGTCCGATGGTCCATTTATATATATATATATATATATAATACTGGACCATTAAAAAATCTTTCGCAAATTTATATCGTTATAAAGCTATTTGTTACGGACTTTTCTTATCAATGGACCATCGGACGAAGCATTTTTGGAGTTCCGAAAAATTCCTCGAACATTTCGGAAATTTTCTATTAACCAAAGGACTTCACGAAGTTGTGCGCTACGCAATACTCGTGATAAAGGAAAAAGAAAAACAAAATGTTCCACCAACTGTACCAACCACACACAGCACTCAATGGTGTTCAGTGAATGTTATACAAATTACGCGGTTGTTACGCGACGAAAAAATAATTATTAATGAAATTATACATTATATACATTATACATTACTTCGATTGAAGCTCTTCTGCAATTGGAAATGCGAAACGGCATCGCGAAGTTATTCCGCTTATGTTACTCGAGTTTATTACGATTGTTTATTAAAGCTATGAAATTTTCACTCATATTGTGTGCTTGATTCGCCTTATCTCACCCGACCACTCGACGTTCGATCGTACTCGCGCGAAATATTACAGCCAATGAACGCGTCTCGATATACTCGCGCCCTTCTAACCATTTTCCCGCACATCAGATACCGCCGGTACTGATACCAAATTCAGATAATAAGAATTTATGACGCTTTTTCTTTTCATTTTACCGTCACCTCGTACACGTATAATCGATAGTCAAGGGTGCACGACGGAGAGAAAATAGCGATCACACAAGGGAGCGGGACCTACCTACTCAGAGAACGTAAGGACGTCCTAAGACATCATGGGGACGTCCTTGGGACGATAAAACGTCCGAGTCACGTCTCCGAGACGTCTTTTAAAAATGCACGTTGTATGAATCAAAATATCCATAAAAATCATATCCAAGTTAAATTCCACTTACAATTCTGTGTACAAGATATACATTTTTATGCCGTGTTATAGCGAATAACGAAAAATTGTTCTCAAAGTTCGTGAAAACTTAACCCAAGTAGCGGTGTGAATCAAGTGACATTTTAATGACGCCCTGTCGTTAGAAACGACATTAGGACGTTGTTAAAACGTCATTTGACGTCACCGCTATTCGAATCCTCCAGGATAAAGGATTTATCGGTGGCGACGAGTCTCTGGGCGGATAACAAGGAGATCCGTGCGAAAGAACGCGAATCAAAGGGGGAGAAAAAGAGGAGCCAGGGAACATTCCCGAAATGACGTGAGAAGCGCATGTTTTTTTTCTTTACGATCTCCATGATAAATATATCGACGTCGTGTGTCGAGGCAAACGGGCGCGACGGCGGACAAAAGGCCCGGCTGGAAACAGACAGTTTTCCATCGTAATCGACAGCGGCAGAAATTGTATTAAATAAGTCCATTTGCGCAAAATAAGCTTCGCGCGCGCGTCATCCTATAAATATTACACACTCACACACGCACACACGACGTTATAAACTCGCGTCAATCGATTACCGTGCTTGCAACGAGCTTGCGAACCCGCCTGCCCGCTCACTCGCTCGCTCGCCTCCACCCCTCCCACCCCCCAGCAACATGCAACTACGTATGTATGTATGCACCCCGTCGTAACAATAATCGAAGCGCGTAATTCCGAAAATAGCATATGCACGAGAGAGAGAGAGAGAGAGAGAGATAGCTAGAGAGAGAGCTTTGACGTTATTTCGAGTCGCATGTCAAAACACAACGCGCGATATTCTCGATACGTATCGAGAGGCTGCGTTTACGGGGTGCGGAGTTCAAATCGAAAGGTGAACCGCGTGTCTCGCGTGATACGCGAGAATGTCGCCTCCCCTTCCCTTCCTCCCTCTCTCTCTCTCTCTCTCTCTTCCGTCAACCTCCCTTCTTCCCTCTACATGTATAAACATATATATACATATATACATATACATATATTTATCCTTGTGTATCCTGTGTCAGAGAATACGGTAAAACGAGAGGGAGTGAAGTAAGGAGGGAGGAGGTACGCGGGTGCCGCAAGGCAGGGTCGCCAGGACGCTCTCCCCGGTGTCATCCCGACGGTCAAGGGCAGTGGCGTCGCGCGTGACGTCACGCGGCGCTGCAGTGACGCAACTAGTCGCCAAGGGCAACCCGCGGCGGTTATGGTCGCTTGGCAACCCCTTTTCGCCCTGCTGCTCGCTACTGTACAACTCCCCACCCCACCCCTTATCCCACTTCATATCGCAGCCCGCGCCGCACTCTCTACCGCGTACACGTGCCGTTCCTCAATGAACTCTCCCCGCTCTCTCTCTCTCTCTCTCTCTTTCTCTCTCTATCTCTTTCTGTCTGTCGAACCCCTCTTCGCCCCCTCGTCTTCTCTGCCATTCCTCGTGGCGCCGTCGTCGCTACTCTTCCATTCTCCGTGACGTGACCCTAACCCCTAGCCAGAGAGAGAGAGAGAGAGAGCTTTTCGCGGATGTTTCGCGGCGCGAAGTAACGACATACAACGTGCGCGCCCGCTCGCAACAAGCTCGCGCCCCGCTTTCACCCCGCGGTATTTTTGCGCCTCAATAACGCCGTCGTGGCGAGATTCTCCAAATTCAGCCGAAACGTGGCGGCGATGCCCGCCCACATGTCGATCACAGGTGGGCGCATTTTTTAAAATATTTTCGTCGTGTCTTATTTCTTTTTTCCTTTTATATTCAACAGGGAGAATTTAAAGAAGTGGCAGGACTCGCCGAAATTATATATATCGCTATATATATATATATATATATCATTACGGCGGAATTTTCTCGACAGATTCGGCCCTTCCTCTCTCCCTCTCTCTCTCTCTCTTCGAGATTTCCCCACAAAGATATCCGACCCTTTGAATCTACCTCTCTCGTGCTAAATGGAGCGATCAGCATTCGGTTGACAAGATCCGCTTAAAATTAAGAAGGAAGAGCCGCATCTTCCGTCCGCGGAGCATCTCGAGAATATTTAATTCGCGTTTGGGAATTATTTGCTCCCGATGGATTTCCAAATCTCTTTTCTCGAGGAGCTATTAGCGTCTCGACGTTGATCTCTCTCTCTCTCTCACCGGCGGAATTTTTGCCTGCCAATTTGCTCAAAGGAGTCAAAGTCGTCTTGCCATTAACCGATGAAGCGAGAATGAAGTAATCCGATAGAGAGAAACGGGGCTCTCTACATAATACGTTTGCATATGCGAGCCTCGAGAGTTTCCATATACGTAGCCGTATGTCGAGCGTGTCTGCGGTGTCGCACACCTCTCTCTCTCTCTTTTTCTCTCACTTCCCCCTCTCTCTCCCCCTATGCGTCTCCTCGCGGTAACACGGTAGCGGCGCGTAGTCGTTTTTATTTTTCCTCATCTTCGCCTCCACTTTTCTATCCGCCCGTTTTCCCTCTCTTGGCCGTCGCCGTCGGCGATCGTCATAGAAACGGCACGCTTTATCATCTCTCTCTCGCTCTCTCTCTCTCACTCTCGCGTACGATAGAGAAGAATATCCGAAAACAAGACGCGGCGAATTGCGAAGGAAAGAGAGAGAGAGAGAGAGAGAGAGAGGACAATAAAAGAGTGAGAGGAGAGCCAGAGGAAAGGGTGGAAAGTATGCGTGCACATGCGTTGAGGAGGACGGAGGGAGGGAGGGAAGGAGGGAGAAAGTGAGAGTGAGAAGGAGAAAGAGAGAGATTCCTTTGGAAAAAGATACGATGTTGCGAGAGACTGTTAAGAGAAGGAAAGGAAGGCGAAGCGGGAAATAAAAAGGAAAGAAAGGAAAAGAAGTGAGAGAGGGAAAAAGAGAGAAAAGGAAGAATAAGAAGGTCTCCGCGCGGAGGGATTTCTCATAGTGAGACCGAGAGAAGCGGAGAGAGAGAGAGAAAGAGAGAGAGAGAGAGAAGGTATCGCGAAGTGCAGAGGAGGCCTCATCTCGCTCTCGGTCCTATTTATAGATGTGCTCTCAGCTTCACTCCTGCCCGCCGCTCTCGCGTACTGTCTTTCTTATATAGGTGTGCCCGTGTATACCTATATGTAGTGACTATATTACGCATTCTCCGCGGGCGAACCAGCCAACCAGCCGGCCGACCAGCCAACGAGCCGGCCAAAACTCGGCGCGAAAGATCGATTGTGGTGGACTCGCGAGACGCGCGCCGACACTTGTCTAGTAGTTGTCTGTGTTGCAACGAATCGGTCCGGCGCGAATGCCGCCGTCGTGCGCGAGATATTTTCCGCCCCTCCTCCCTCCCCCCTCCCCCCATCCATCCAATGACCGACTGTCCGCCGACATGCGAACGAAAGGGAGACGAACGGATCGGGAAAACGCGTGTGTCGTTTCATCTTACGGCGGTCGGTACTTTTGATTGATCTGATCGCAGCATTACAGCACCCGTTCGTCCGTTTGTTCGGTCCCGCCGCGAACTTCCTGGGAGCTCATTCGCTCCTTCCTCGAGCAACACTGCCGAACACGGCAGTGTTGACGCAGTCGCGACGATCGCGAGTCAACTCAAACTTTGTCACCTTGCTTCCTCCCAATTTTTAGAAACGTAACTCGTGTTTCTCTCTTTCTTTCTTGTTTGTTTTTTCTTTTTTGTTTTGTTGCTAGACAATGTCGTGTATCATACGTGGCGCGACAACAAATGAATCTGGTGTGAACGGAACGGTATTTTTTACTGATAATTGAAACAGTCCGTGAAAAAATGATTACACATGATTATATATGATTAGATATAATTATTATAATTAGATATAATTATGTTAAATCATATACAAATTTTGCCCGTACAGGTGGTTACATATATGATCATATGTCTATACGAAAAAAAAGATATTACGTCATTTGATTAAATGTCGATATCACGTGTTGCCAGAGGCACAAGTAGCCGGAAGCATTTACTCCGATTGTATCTGCATATGATTCGTAAACAATAATATTTTCTTGTCACGGATATATATGATTATATATAGTTAGTACGAGCAAATTTCATATATCTATTTTCTCCCGGGAGGGTTTTTCTTTCGTTTCCTATTAAAATAGCATCAAACGAAATTGCACCTCATTCTTTGGATTTATTTAGATCGCAAAATAATCTTAAACGTTAATGATGGCCACGCGTTTCTTAATAGGAGTGATGTGATTTTGCTAAAGTCTGTTTGAAATTACGAGCGAAAATTTTTCACTCGATACTTAGCAGTACGATCCATTAAAATCTCGGTGCTTTTGTATCAGTCGCAAGCTAGAAGACTATTCACCCCTCGCTATTCTTTCTCTTCTCCAAGAAAATCAATAGAACGAATGGAAAAGGTTCTTTGACGTAGTCGCAGTAGTAAGAAGAGGCCAGTCAGAGCTTAAGCTCTCATTGTTGCACACAACATACGCGTATTACATGCACAAAATGTTGAGAAAAAAAGAGATCCGAGAACGGTATATTCCTTAACCGGGTGCAAAATCGAGCGAAAAGGTTGGAATACCGATAGTTTCCGAATTATTTCCAATAAAAAAAAACCGGATATCCATTGTGAGTCAAGCAGGAATAAACATAAACAGACTCTTATTACAGATACTTATTTTTTTACTTGATTTCACTGGCGGAATAATTGAGATTTTACTTAAGTAAGATTTTTTTCAACTTGAAGATCACCGGTTAAAAGTATCTTCATTAGGAAGATCGATCGAAAATTGGTGTTGGGAAATACGTGTCCGATTGTCATAAAAGCCTCCTCTTTCCTTTCCAACCGCCTGTATATGCACGACTCTTTCATGACAGGGTTGCGAGAATAATCGAACCACTTGACCTTGAGTCAATGTTAATTGTATTTCTGTTAATAATTGTTGCAAGATCGTTACCCGCAGAGAGAAGCATATGCAGGAGCGATGATGACAACACGAATATACAGGTAGGTTGGGAGCTTTTCTCACGTGCATTGCACTCGGAGCACCATATGTATAATAATTACATATAATTTGTCTAGCGATAGGATAATATTACTTGTAAAAAAGTATTCTCCTGTGGGGACACGCGCTTGCGCTACGACTTACGTAGATGAGTAGTGCGTATCATCGCGTTCGCATACGCTCGTACAATTTATATATATGTATATATATTTATTTATTTATTTATATTTATATGTTTGAAAAATGTGTACCGTGTGTATACGCACTTGTGAGCGCGTGTATATGAGCTCGCGTGTGTGTGCGTGCGCGCGCGCGCACGCGTGTGTGTGTGTGTGTGTGTGTACGCATGCAAGTGTAACTTGTATAAGCGTAGGTACCGAATTTTTGTCACCCTTGCAACGTATTGCACGTTTCTTTGACCGAGTAGAGTCCTTTACGATAATAATAAAAATAATTATTTGACTTTAACAATATATTCATTTGATATAGTCATCTTGTTAATAAATAGAGCAACATATACATAACATTAACAATCGCTAAATCGTATATGTATACACGTACGCGACAGGAGGGAGGGACGGAAGGGGAGGGGGAGCGGCGAGCGGGACGGGGCAGGATAATAACGCGAAAAACGAGAAGAATAGAAGAGAGAAAAGAAGGGGTGGAAGTAGACGAGATAACGACGTTAGAGATTTTACATATACATACAGCGATCATACGTAATAAATTATATACATATGTACACGTGAAATATTCTCTTTCAACAACGATGGTCAATGTTTAATTACAATTATTCGTGGAATTCTCATATCTTTTTTTTTCTTTCCTTTTTTTACCTAGAATGTGCAGAAAGAGAGGCAAGAATGATTCGGGGGAAAGATCCGACGACGGGGACGAACGTAAAACATCATTGCACATACACGTGAGGAATTGCACATACAGCCGAGATTTAGCGTGTTCGGAGCACGACGAAAAGTACGACGAACACGACGGAACGCATACACAAAGGGGGGGGGGNGGGGGGGGAGGGCGCTGTATAGGCAATGTAATCGCTGCTACGAGATCAGAATCCGATGAATTCCTCGTGTGAACACTGCAAAGAATCGTAGAAACTCACGGAAATTGCACGCTTCCCGGCGACGGGCCGGCGTCGCGTATGGCGAAATTTGCGACAGTTTTTTTCTCTCTCTTTTTCTTGTTGTTTTTTCTCCCCTTTTCTTATTTATCGAAACCAAGTTTCTCAACGCGCACGCGCGCGCGCGCACGCACATACACACGCACACGCACAAACACACACACTTGTCGTCGCGATGCGGAGAGGAACTTCTTTCTTTCTGTCTTTCTTCCTTTCTTTCTTTAGCACCTACATATTCTCTAACGTAATGCCGTAAAATTTCTTTCAAAAATAAATATTTTTATATCGCGCCGACCGTTCTTTCTCTCTCTCTCTCTCTCTCTCTCTGTAATTCGGTGTTAACGTTGAATTATAGTTATATACAAATATACATAAAAAAATATCTCTATTTCCGTTGCCGCGAAAATCTCGTCAACAGTCTCTCGGCCTTTTTCATTCGTCAGCACAGATCTGTCCGATGCGAGAATACAGCTTCGTAGGAGTGACGTGTGGCTTCTTCCCTCCTTTTTCTCGTTTCTCTTCCTCTTTCTTTACTGTTCTTTCTTCGAAATTACACTCGAATCGCGAACAATTTTTTTTTCGATTGTACAGGAAGGGACAGGACATCAGTAACCATTTAAATGCCGAGTTCCGTTTGATGTCGATCATGCAGCGAGCCGATATATTATATCGTATCACGAAAAGCATCACATTTCTCTCTCTCACACATACACACACACACATACACACACTCATTCGTATGCAATGATTCGTAATGCTCCCCGGTAAGCAAGAAACGTTAAATCAATCTTTTGAAACATTGATTTTACGTGGATTTTATAAACATTTTGACATAATACTTCATAAATGTTTCTAAACTCTTACTTGATAATTATTATGTTCTTAAATATTAAAATCATAGTAGAAACATTAACTTCTATGTTTCGATAAAATATCATTAACGATGACGTTGTATGCGACATTAAGAACTATATATTTGAAAATGTTATATATTATAAAATATCATTGTTATAACGTTGTGTTAATGATTTCTTGCTTACTGGGTCCGTATCTCTCTCTCACTCTCCCTCCTTCCCTCCCTCTCTCTCTCTCTCTCTCTCCTTCCGTCTCAACCCTCCCTTTCTTCCTTCTATTTCTCCCTCTCTCGGTATTCTCCGCTGTGTCACTCTACGATTCCCGGAAGCTGCGGGGCTGGTATCGATTTCGTGTTATACGATTGTACGAAAATGTTCTTACGAAATGCTCAATGGCACTCGTGGCAACGACGCTGGTGAATACCTCGCGGATCTGATAATTCGCGCGTCCGGATGCAAACTGCGGATGCATGAAGCGACACGTGGTGAAACGTGGTAAACGCGACGTTTGCTGTTTCTATCTGAATTAAAAAAAAAAACACGCGACAACTGATCGAATTAATTAATAGACGCAATCTGTCGCAAGTCGCGCGGAATTCGTCCCCGAGGCTTCGTGTATCTCTCTCTCTCTCTCTCTCTCTCCGAGTGATGCTCTAAGTACTTCGATTTTGCGACGATTTTCGCGACGATGAGACGAGAGACAGACCGACAAACGAGAACGTCGAGAATGTATCGCGACTGATCAAAATTGCAGAAAAAAAAGAACGCTTACCCTTGGATTCGTAATTCATTTTCAGAATGAGCAACTGTTTACCGCGGCCCAGCATGCGCCCTGCATGCGAAAAATATCGTCAGTTCGCATCCAGCAGTGTGTTGTAAGTAGCGTAAACAGTTGATGGACCGACGACGACGAATGACGGATCAGTCGGTGACGGTTTTGGCCGCCTAAAGGTCTCCGCGGTTTCCTCATCGGCCATCACGAAGGAAGGAGAGAGAGAGAAAGAGAGAGAGAGAGAGGAAACGACCGGTTCAAGAGAGAAGAAGAAGAAGAAGAAAAAATTAGGGAAAGAAAGAGACGGGAAGAGGAGAGACAGATGTTGCGGGAGAATCGGATGGATAACACAGATCACAATTTGTCACCGAGTGCGACAAAGGGGGTGGAGGGGAAATGAGATCTCAACGTTGAAGAAGAAGGGAGGACGTTCCCCTCTTTCTCTCTCTCTCTCTCGACGTCGTTGTTATCGTGGAATTCTCTCATTATTATTTAATTGCAGGGCGAGGACGCGTGGCTCTGCGACGACGCGGGATGCGCGCTCCTCGGGTTCGTCGCGTGGGAAGCCTCGCGCTTCAGCCTCTGCTTGAGGTGTACCTTCGCGTGGCGCTTCTTCTCGTCGCTCCTGGCGAACTTGCGGCCGCACTGATCACAGCTGAACGGCTTCTCGCCGGTGTGGGTGCGCACGTGGGTGGTTAGGTGGTCGCTGCGCGAGAACGAGCGCATGCAGATACGACACTGGAACGGCTTCTGGCCGGTGTGGATGCGAATGTGCCGGGTGAGCTCGTCGCTGCGGGAGAACCTGCGGTCGCAGGCGTCGACCGGACAGGCGTACGGACGCTCGTGGACCGGCGTCTTGCTCGGCCGATTCGGGTACTTCCGCGGCTTGACCGGCACCAGCCGCAGCGGCAGAGCGCTCTGCTGGTAGACCTGCGAGAGTATCTCGTGGCCCTTCGACGTGCTCGGATTATACTCGGCCAATTGCACCCCCCCGGTGGTGCCGCCCCCGGTCGCCGACGATGGTGCTTGTTGCTGTTGCTGTTGCTGCTGTTGCTGTGGCTGCTGCACGCAAGGTGTGTAGCCGGACGTGCCGGTCGGTTCCTGTTTGAGCGCCTGAGTCTCGTGATGGTGAGCGTGAGAGTGATGAGGGTGAGAGAGGAGCCCGGGGTCGTAAGCTTCCTCGTGGGCCGTCAGCCAGGCCGCGGGAGTGGTGGTCGGTGTGTCGTGGTAACCGGGCGGCGGGGGCGGCTTCGAATCGACCTGCAATAACTCGACGGTCTCGCCGCCGTACGCGGCTGAATGTAGGTTGGGGTGAAGGAACGGCTGACCTGTCAAGGTTAAGGTCGGCGAGGGTAGAGGGGCCCATAGCTCTTGGCTCGTCGGCTGCTGCTGCTGCTGCTCGCTCTGGAGATTGCTCAGCGGTGAGGATTGCGTGCAGGTGGTGGTGAAGACGCCGCGGTAAGTCAACGTCGGCACGTTGCAGATGTTGACGTTCGTCGCCGGCACGGAGGAGGCGGTGTGCGGCGACGAATAGAGGATCACGCCGGCTTGCAGCACGTTGCCACCGCCGCGGTCCGCCTCGTCCGCCGGCTGGTGGTGACGCGAGGACGGCGGGCTGCTCGAGGAGGCCGCGCTCACGGCGACGCCGCTCCGCGCGTCCTGCTGCTGCGCGTGATGGTGGTGGTGGTGGTGCCGATGATCCCCCCGGCCGGCGGACGCGCCGCCCTCGTCCTCCTCCGCGGTCGCCTCCTCCAGGGAGAGGTCCTCGCCCGCCAGGCTGCCTGCGAAGCATCAAAAGCACAAATCGCAACGCTCAATCCTCGATTTCCTTCCGATTCGTCTCGACGATTCGTCCGTCGTCGTCGTACGGCGCGCGTATTTTGCATTCCGTTTTCGAGAGCGACGACGACGACGACAGGAAGAACCCGCGCGATACGGCAGGGTACTTTATCTAACAGCGGCTCTATCTGTTGTCTGCATCCTGCCGCTTTGTTATTTCCTTTCTCCACGGCGTCGCTGACCAGCGCGCGCTTGTTAAGAAGCGCTTCTCGCTGGTGAAAACGTACGGGTGGAAAAAGAAAAGAGAGTACGGGACGAGAGCATTTCTCGAGACGCCGCCGCTTGCGATCGTCCGGCCGACGACGATGCACCAGGCGGCTTTTTCTCGCGCGCACCGCCTCGGAATACTCGCACTCCGACCGGTGCCGGCAATCGCCCGCTTCTCTCTTGCGAAAAACGACGGAGTGAAAAAGAATGGGGGAGGCGAGAATAAAAAATATGTAGGAAACGCGCAGGAAAGCCGCACGATAGTCGCGCGGGCGCGCGAGGGTCATTACGACGATACCGAGAGGGTGGGGGAGGAGGGAGCACAGCTGGAAGCATGAATGAACCGACCGAGGGATGGTGGGGAGGCAGAGGTGGGTGGTGCAGGTTGAAGAGGAGGGTCTCTGAATGTCGGGGTCGTTGAGTATTGATCCGCGACTCAGGCGGACAGGCCTTCGATATTAGATGTTTTCGCGAACAGCGTCGCGATAAACGTAACTACACGCCTCGTGGAACGCGCGCTCTCTCTCTCTCTTTCGGTGCGTGCGCGCACCTCCGCTCTCTGTGCGCGTAGTCGCACGTTCCGGATTCATTCGTTCGGACCGCCGAAATCGCCGCGCGCTGAACGGTCTTTAAAGACGACGTATCAGGAGAGGCGGCGACGCTGCCGCCGCAAAGCGCATGGAAAGCGAAAGACCGTGGGCGAAAGTGAAAACGGCGCGCAATTCAAGAGGATCGCGCATTCGCACCTACGTAATTCTGCTGTCTGGAAGTCGCGTGGAATTGCGAGAGGCGCGCCGGTTTTAACCGGGGGAGATACGTCGCACCGGCCTGCTGGAGAGAAGCTCAAAGACGCGCGCGGCAATAATGGATCGACACACGTCATCCCTCTTCCTCCCTCTCCCCCCCACCCTCTCTCTTTCTGTCTGTCTCACCCCCTTTATAATTAAGTCATTAGACGCAACACACATCGCAAAAAGGCGGAGGATCTTTGCTGTTCGCAAATCGCAGCGACGAGGTGGACGCACATGGGGCACATGTTCTTAAATCGCAACGAGGAGGAGATCCCGTTTCCTCCCGGGACCGATCTTAAGGAACAGCTGATTGGGGGGGAGGTAGGTACCTGAGATCGGTGGCGGTTCGACAAGCGCAGAGGGGCCGAAGAAAGACGGTAGGTCGCTGCTGGTGGTGACCGGTGTGTTGAGGTCGCCGGGCTTGTCCTTGTCGTTCGCGTCGTGAAGGTCGCTCCTGCAGTTCCGTATGCAGCCCTTATCGTCGTCATCTAACTGGCTCCTTTTGCCGCCGTCGCCGGCATCGGCGGACGGTGAGGACGACGCGTCGGCGTGCTGCAGGTGATGATGATGCTGATGATGATCGTCCAACCGATGATGATGGTGGTGATGGTGATGGTGGTGCCGGCCGTGATTGTGCTCCGCGCCTGTGTCGGTCGGTGTGATCTGGAGCTGAGCGTGCAGTGGCACGCACGACGACAGGGAGAGCGTGGGTACGGTTTTGCAGCTGGTCGACGAATTCGTGCAGGTCGCGCTCACTGGCGTGCCGCCGATGCTGCAGGTGACCGAACCGGAGGACGAGGTGGTGGAGGAGGAGGCCGCGTTGTACGGTAAACAAGCATCGAAGCTCAGCTGCACCGTTTGCAGGTTGAAGGTCGCGTGAGCATGGTGATGATGGTGTCCTAAGGGCGGCGAGGAGAGCAGAAACGGGCTGGTGGCTGCGTGCGGCTGCGAGCCGACCACCTCCATGCCGTCCATCGTCATCCTCTGGAGCGGGTCGCCTGCTTGGGCAGCGGCGGCAGAATCCTCGGTACCGCACTGCGTGTCCTCGCCTGCGGTTGTATCGTTCAACGTAATTATTATGGTTATAATATCGTCGTCGTTTCTCCCCGATCACTCTCCGATACGATCGAGCCTCTCTCTCGCTTCTTCTCTCACACACACACTCTCTCTCTCTCTTTCTCTCCCGGTGTGAATAGCGCGCGTTAAAGCCCGTAGCAATACGCGTTAATGCTCGCGATCTCTCCCTCGGAAGATCGGTTCGCGTCGTCTCTCTCTCCCTCACTTCCTCTATTTTCCTCCGATTAAGTAGGATTAGTAGTGGTTAAGTATGCGAACAAGAGACACGTCTTGCCCCTCTTCCTTGCGCGTGTCGCGCGCGCTCCGGCTTTTTATCTAAATCGTCGGAGTGCCGATCGCTGATATAAGAGCGCAGAAAAAGTCTCCTCTCTCTCTTTCTCTCTCTCCTTCCCGCCTTTTTAACGCGCCCGATACCACCGGCCGCGGCCGGCAACACCACGTCGCGGCGAGGACCACCACCAACCACTAGTAATCACCATCACCACCAACCACCACCGTGTATGTGTGTGTGTGTGTGTGTGTGTATATGTGTGTACGTGCGTGCGTACGCGCGCCAGGAAGCTCTACGCGTCGCGTAGGATCGCGAGAGAGAGACTACGTGCGCGGCAACCCGGTCGTCGTCGGTTATACCTGGTGTGCCGCAGTCCCCTCGTGGACGAGGAAATGCTATACGCGCCGACGACGGGTGGTATCACGCGCGCGCGCGCGCGCGAGACCGGTGCCGGTCTCTCCCCGCTCCGATGGAAGTCCGCTTCTGCGTTCCTCTTCTCACCTCACGACGACGACGACGGGTACAGACGCGTCGAGTAGACACGAGGAGCCGATGTGTGAATAGCGTGTCGGAAAGCGAGGAGCGAAGTTTCGAGTTGCGGCCCCGCAGAGGAGACGACGTGTGTCCGGCCACCACCGCCGCCCGCCGCGCGCGTTTCGGATCCACGCGTGCTCCGAATCTGTGCGCGAGTGAGAGCAACTACAGTGTATGATCGGAGAGCGTGTGCGTGGGCGCACGAGCGCGCGCGCGCGCGAGACCGCGCGCGTTTTATGTTGCGTCGGCAACTCTCTCTCTCTCTTTCTCTCTCTCTCTTCGTCTCTCTCTTCTTCTCCTCCCACTCTCTCTTCTCTGGTTCTCGTTCTCTCTCTCTCTCTTTCTATCCATCCATCTATATCCCTGTCTTTCTCTCTCTCTTTCTCTCTCGCCTCACTCGCTTTCTCTCCCTTTAAACGCGCGTCTTCACCGTCAGGTTAGGTGTGCGTGGTATATCTCGAGAAGTGGTATTGGCTCGTGCACGGGGATTGTTAAAGGACGCGCGATGCGTGGGGGTCGCGCACGAACTGAGCCGAGCGGCGGCGCGCCCCGTAGTTTTATGAATGGACCGCCGAGACTGTCCCATATTTGGAAGCGCCGAGTCGACCGCCAGCCAATCCCCGCCCGGCGGACCCCTGCCTACGCACGCGTGTGTGCGCCATACGTCTTCGTACGTATGCGCGTATTTATATACGCTTACGTATACGTGTGTACACATATATATATATATGCATACATATAAATGTATATATGCATATTATGTTATGCGTAAGTGCCTGTATATGTACATATATATATATATATATATATATATGCATATCATGAGCGCGTATCACGCATACACTATACATATCATACGTGTACATATACGTATATATACATATATATAATATATATATGCACACGTATATAAGAGAGCCGAGCGAGATCCTCGACTCTGTTTCTCCGCGCCGTCGCGTAGTTGCCAACCAGTGCTTACGAACGTATCCCCCCACCAGGTCGCCCTTCGCGCGCCGCCACCTTCCCCTATCGTCCCTCCATAGAGGCTTCCTCCTGCTCCGTCAGCTCCTCAACCCCGTTCACCGGTGACGTAGAGCACTGTGACGTAGAGCCGAGGCGCGCGACTCCGGTCCCCCACGAGATACTTTCGAGAACGCGCGAGCACGCGACGACGGGCGACGGAGGACGGGGGGGGAAAAGCCGCGAGCTATCGCGTAGGAGCGAGAAAAAGCGAAAGAGGTAGGGAGGGAGTGAGAGAGACAGAGAGGGAGAGATAGCGAGCGCGCAGGCCGCGATACGTATCGTCACCGGCAGCTGTCAAGCTCGCGTAATCTTTTACGGTAATGGGAATATCCGCTCGCGCGATACCGATTAACCGGCAATTAATCGATCGTAAGTTGCCGATCGACGCACAGCCGTGCGCGCGCGCGTGCCCGTCGCATAAGGGCACGCATACAGGCACGGCCACGTGTCGAAACCTCATTCATTACTGTGACGCGTAATTCGTCGTCGATCGCCGTTATCAAACGCCGTTATCAATCAGGAATCGAGCGAGGACGCATATCGTCGCGCGGCGGAATTCGCGAATCCTCGAGGAAGGATCGCTCCAAGTCGCCTCCGAGAGGAATCGTTATTTCGTTCCCGCTCGAATCGTCGCTCTCGTTAGTGCCACGTCGCGCGCGCGCGTTAATGAATCGCCGATCTGCGATCGTTCGCACCGGAAACGCTGCGTCGGAATCTCGCCGAATGACGATGAAATTCCGCGGATTTCTCTGCCCGCCGCGGCGGCGCGTACGTACGTACATACGTACGTACGTATATCCCGCACGGGATGACGTGGAGCGATCGATCGCGGAACGGAAGACCTGGCGTCTCGTCTCGCCGTTAGCGGGTGGTCCGGAACAACGATGTCTCTCTTTCTCTCTTTCCTTCCCTCCCCTTCCGTCCCTTCTCTCCTCCCTCCCTCGGAATTTCGCTCACGGATAGTAGATATAGACGCTTGTCATTACAGTGGCGGACGCGACAGAGAGAAAGAGATACGTCGTAAGGAGAAAGTCATTTTATCGCGGCGATACGGTGGCTCTCTTAACATCTGTAAGCGCGCGTGTCTGCAATACGAGGCGCGCGCGGATACCACGCTCTTTCTCTCTCTCTTTCTCTTTCTCAGGAGGGTAAAGAGACGCGTGCCATTTGTGCGGACGCGTGCGTGCGCGCCCGCTTAGCAAGCAGTCACGTATATACGCGCACGCGCGTACGGTCTTTTTCTCGCGGGCGTCTCGCAACCACCTGATGCCCTATTTGGCACCACGCGCTGCCACGCGCGCGTCCCCCCTCCCCTCTTCCTCTCTCTCTCGCTCGCTCGCTCTCTTTCTTCTCCCTCTCGCTCCGTCCCGCTCTTGGCATTTCGTCCCCTCTATCTTCTTCTGCCGCCTGTCCTTTTTCTCTATCGCCTTCTTCCTTTCTTCGCTCTCTCTCTCTCCCTCTCTCTCCCTTTCTCTCTCCCTCTTTCTAACTATGCTGTTATTTCATTTTTAAAGGCCTCTAACGCGCACCGTGACATCGTAGATTGTCGAAAAAGCTTCGCGTCCGAGTCGGCGGGTACGCTTTATCTCGATGACACTCGAAAACTGAACGTGGCCGATGATAATCAAAGATTACGCATCTCTTAATAGTAGCATCTGCGGACACCAAGAGAAAAAGATACAGATGTTTTTGAGGACAACAATATCCTTTCTTCCTTTTAACCACAAAAATAGCCAAAAGAACTATTTTATTCTAATAAATGTTACTATAGTGTTAATGACAATAACCTTACGTGTATGTTGCTACTGCTATTTTTGTGGTTGAAATAAGGAAAAAGTAAATTGTTGTTCCCAAAGATAACTATATTTTTCTCTCAGTGAAGCGAGTCATTAAGCGGCTAGGTAGGTGTGCACCGAGCGTAAGAACGAACGCAGCGAGCTTTCGTCGTTACAATTTCAAAAATTCCACTTTTCCAAAGTGTGTAAGATGAATCCACGAATCCGCACGTTCCGGGCCGATTTGCTCATAAAGTGCTTTATCGAAGAAAGTTCGTGCCCGTTTCGAACACACACGTTCGAATATCACACTATTCGCTATTCATTCCTTCGTCGTATGTTCGCTCATCCGGTGCTTTGCAGAGATCTCCTACTTGATCGGGGAGAAAAATAATTTTCCGTAGTAGCGAAACCACTCAGTTGCTACTGCACGTTCGTTGCGACAACAGCTAAAATTTAGTCTGGCACAACCGAATTAATGAATTATTCGTAATTGTAGCAGAGAACCGGTTTTGTTTGCCGAGATAGAAAAGTATTCGGCTGAGTGAACGTGTCCTTAGGACACGTTAACTTGCTGTTGCAACAAAACAGTGTTCTTCTAATTTATATATCAGCCAATTTGTTTTTACGGCAAGATAATTCGTAGATTGAAGCAAGATGGTCCAGCGATTGGTACTTTCAACAAATTGTTTTGCTGTTCGCACATAGTAACTGACACAGATTTTCCTGGTGCAACGATGAAATTCGCCGCACCAGCAATTATCTTTCTCCGTGTTGACGCTTCAGAGATTTTCCCCCGTACATATATATACATACTATCCAATAGTCCTCTGCTGTATAATTAAGAAATGGCATAATCGCATTCGGTCTCTCCAGTGTTGATCTCTCTTTCGATCTCGCCGAAAGGAAGAATTTGGAAAGAAAAAAAGAAAAGAAAATAGCCTCGCTCGAGTTCCCGCGAGGATATATAATCTAGCTGGTCGGTTTCTATTTTTAAAATTGGATCGCACGTGTTCGCTCGTTCTGTCGTCTTGTGTCCTGGCGTAAGGCGGCATTGCGGCTCTCGTTGTACGATTAATTTCTCGTGCGCGATCGGATCGGACGCTGATCTCGTTTTCGCGATATTCAATCGCGTCGAGAAATTATATTAATTTTACGCGTTCCATCTTCGCTTCCTTCCCTTGTTACACGTATCGTAACGTAAGTGTCGGTCCATAACAGGTATTTTAAGCTTTAAAAAATCGACCAGTCATAATCGAATTATAGAAGAATAATCAACGGTGATTAGTGTTAATTTCTTAAGGCTTAAGGCTTAAAATATCTATTGTGGACCGACACTAACGTTTAAGCGCTTTTAATCTTCCCGTTC